GTCAGTTTTTAGTCTCCCCAACGTCTGCACCTCCGAACGAACGAACAAGAACACACCTCCTTCCCGGAAACACCAAACACTTCCTGGTTTCCTTAACCAATCATATAATATCAACATAAACTTGTTTAAGCAATTATTAAACGGAATATAACCTAGGTAACTGCAACACAAAATAACAAAATGCTCTAATATAAAATGAAAATAATTATTAATTTAACATAAGGTTACATTCTTCCCCCTCCCACCAGAGAAATGTCCTCATTTCTACTTTGATTACTTAACCGTGCGACGACCGACGGTCCAAAACCACAACGAATTGCGACAGGAGATGAGGGTTTCTCCCATGACGAGAGTAAACCGTAAAAAAAAAAAAAAAAAAAAAAAATACGGCTCCGGGCTCCCTGTGTGGAGTTTGCATATTCTCCCCGGGCCTGTGTGGGTTTTCTCCAGGCACTCCGCTCTGATCCTCCGACATTCCAAAAAAAACATGTATGGCAGGCTGTTTGAACACTCCAAATTGTCCCTCAGACTCAAGTCACGCATTGAGCATGATCAGGATGCTCTTGGTCGGCGAATACGACAGTATGTTCTAGTTCCAGTCAATATCCAGCAACTTCGCACAGCCACTTAAGATGAGTGCACAGGCCACAAACAACCTGATCAACTCTATGCGAAGGGAGATATGTTGCAATGTATGAAGAAAATGGTGCTCACACCAGGTACTGACTTGTTTTCTACACCACCCCTTCCCAAGAAAAGAAAAACTGCACGTGGCCAGCCTAAGGCACACCTGTACAACAACCAGGCTGTCTCATCAGTATCTTGATAAACCACACATGTAAGGTGGGATGGATCATCTCCACAAAGGACAACTACTCACAACACAGATTTAGATATATTTGAGGGAAATGGTCTTTTCTGTATATTGACAAAGTTTGACATATTTGAGTACAGCTCACGAAAAATGGGAATAAAAACAAAAGTGTTATCTTTATATTTTTAATTAGTGTGTGTATCGGGTGCATTGGAAATGCTCTCCGACGCTCCTGCACTACTCTCGGAGTGTATGCTTGGAGAGGCAGAGCACATTTCAGCCATCCATCCATTTTTCACACCACTTCTCCTGAACAGGGTTGCGGAGAGTTGCTGGAACCTGTGATAGTGGACCTCTCTGTGGTTTGGCACTGCTCTTTTAGAAATTACAGGAATACATGATAAGGATAAACCTTGAGGATACATTAAGTTTATTTAAACAGAGAAGGGCAGAGCAAAAATGAAAAGAATGAGAACAATTTTCCTCAAGAAAAAAAAGTGTACTGCAGTTCTGTTCAATATCTTGCAAAATGTACATTTTCATTGTATCAAGTTAAAGATGAAAAAAGCAAACATATTTACATTTCTTTTTCTAGATAGTTAAGTTGAATTGGCACACTCTGCCACATCCAGCTTCTTGCCACTGTTGTACATTTTGGCCAGATTCTGTTGAGAGAAAAACACTGTATGAGATGATGAAATGGCTGGAGAAAATAAACTGTCAATTTATCAAAGGAAATCTTACATTCGCAGCTCGGATGATGCTGTTGGGAGACTGGATGGCTGCGAGGTCTGTTAGTATTTTCTTGAGATCACAGTTGTATGGATGTTCTGAAGCAGTTGAAAACGTGTCATATGATAGTCCTCAACAAAATGAGCCTTTGAATCTTATTTTGACTTTCACTACATTCCAAATTATTGGGCATACAGGCTTCTACAAAAACAATGGCCAAGGGCCACCACGTGACTGTGTTGGGCCATCCAAAGACGACTGACGCTAGCATTGCGACTTTAGCAGGCGGAGACCCGGAGTGAGAAAAGCAGTCTAAATACAGTACCTGTATGTAGATATTTTTTAGGGCTAACTTCAGATGCTGTGGCTTTAGGTATGGTTTGTCGTCCAGAAATTAAAGTTAATTCTACATACTTTATCACATAGAGCACATTGTATGTATTTCTATGATGAATGTACTGTATGTACCTGGTTCCGGAGACCTTTGTGGCTTAAGTTGCAGGTATGGATGCTCCAGCAGTTCTACAATGGATATTCGCTCCCTCGGATTTCGGACCAAGCATCTCTGTCAAAAAAGAAGCCGTATTAGCGGTTACAAAATACAAACTTAATGACACAGACGTTTGCTGATACTTCTCGGCCGTGTTTTTTCTGAAGACCACCATTCTAGTTTTTTGCAATACTAAAGTTGAGTAATTTATGATCTCATGATGATTCTCAATTGACCAAAGAACAAAATCAAAATGTCTTCTTGAGAGGAGCTATGACAGTTTTCAGAACTCACATTCATTAAATTAACTTGTACATTGTACATGTATGTTACATCTAAGGAAGATTTGGACTGATGATGTATGCAACTTGGGAAGCTTCTCATTTCTTTGGTTGACTTTGTTTTAAAATAATACGACATAATGTGTCTTTTATCATTGAGAACATGAACACCAAACACAAATAACTGCTGTATAAACGACCGATTACCAAGACAAAAATTTGTTGTTTTCGGGCTCTTACTTTCAACACATCCAGCAAGTCCTTCTCTGAGATGTCAGGAAATGCAATTTTATGGCTGGGATTGATGATGGCATGCATCTTGCTGATTTGATTGGTGATGCTTTGGAATGGACTCTTTCTGTATGTCATACAGTACAGGATACATCCGAGGGACCACACATCCCCTTTTGGACCTATCTTAGAGACAAAATTTAAAAAAGTTAGCAGACACTCTTCTGCAATCAGAAAGATATTTCTTAAATTGTTAAATAAACAATAGGAAGAGTACTTTTGAGCGTGCTTTTCCATGCTGGGATGAAGTGTCTTTAATTGCCTCCGGGGGCATATAGTTGAGCGTTCCAGCCTGTGAATGATTTGACATAACGACACATTTACCCTGGCCATGTTTTATTTCACTTGTATGTTAAACATTCATTGGCTTTTAACTCCTCTAAATGTACAGCTCTTACTTGTGTATCCTTCATAATGCTTGTCACATCAGGTTGGATACGGCTTGCAATGCCAAAGTCAATTAGCTTTAGTGTCGCGTTGACAATGACAAAATTTGCTGGCTTCAAGTCACCGTGGACGATGCCTGCACACAAGAGACAAAAGCACACATGAGACTGGTTTAAAATAAATACAAGTTACTAATTGTAGCTCCCGGCATTGAGAGAGAAAAAAAAAGTACCATGTTTGTGAATTGTCTGGACGGCTTCTAGCATGTACTTCCAGTATAGCTTCCTCTCAAGTGGATTGACAGACGTTCTGCTCTGCAACCAAGTGTTGAGATCCAAGTTGCCACACTCCATCAACACATAAATGTAGCTGTTGGTTATTTCACTGCAAAAACATGACCACAAGAACATTAAAATAACCCTAAAATGTACAGTTCAATGTATGTTCCCCTAAATATGAAGTAGTGGTCGTCGTCTGCATGACAGTAAAACCACACATCATCTAACAACGTGATGAACAGAATAAAAACAGGGGGATTTTTATACAATGGAATTCTTTCCACCCAGTCCATGCACTTACTAGTCATAGAGCTTTATAATTTGATCGCTGTATTGCTGCAAGTGGTTCAGATGCTCAATCTCATTTTTGGAATTTTCTACTGTCTGCGCATCTGCATCCTCGAGGTCGATGTATTTCACTGCAAACAATTGTTTTTTTTCATCCAGGACCTGGTACACCTAAAGGAAAAAAAATGAAATCAACTATGAAAATGAGGACCAAATACCGACAATTATTCTGTATGATTATTTTGCATTTCTATTTTTATTAGTATTATTATGAGGGCGTTACATGCGCAGCACATTTTCACCATATACTGTATTTATACAGTATATGGTGTA